ATGTCTGTATGGTTACAAACTGATTAAGCCCAACCAAGTTAAACTAACCTGCAAAGATTGAATCAATTCAGACTCAGGCTTTTTGAATGGCTGTCCCTAGCCTATGACTGTAGGGGGAAGAATTTGCTTCCAGTATAGCCTTCTGTTCCCTTGAGATACAGGCAGGTTTATCGGCAGCTGGAGACACCCGGATCGGGGCAGAACAGTAGGTACAGTTTTTACTGTATGAAGCTGAGGCTTGATAATAAATGTCTGAGTCCCAGACCTCCCTCGCAGCAGAAGGTGTGTGAGAGGGATGTGGGTGGGAGCAAAAAGGAGTTATGCTTGTTTAAAGTGATTGCACTTCCCTTGATTCAGCCTTGAAGCTGCCCTGAAGGCCCTGGGTGTTTCTGGGGAGCTCCCACTGCAATTGTTGCACTGCGCATATTCTGTGAATCGATTCCTTCTCCACTTGCCTACTAGACCCGATGAAAACACACGGCACTGGCCTGAATTGGCTTTCCTAAGCCACTAAGGGGCATCAGGGAGTGATTCCCATGGGCTCTCATTGGGAATAGGGTGCAGAGCATCCCTTGGCATCTCTGGGCTTTCCCAACTCTGTGTCCTAAGCTCCCTGAGCCTCAGTTTTCCCACCTGTAAAGTGAAGATGAAAACAATTCTTCTTTACTACGCAATTTACACTGTCTCCTCTTAAGGGTGAGGAATGTCCTGCATTCAAGGGATGCACAGCATGACACAGCCCTGACCTCAACTGGAGCTGCTGGGTGCTACCGCACCATAAATGAATAGTAACACCTGCTGTGACCTGGGAAATAGTCAAAGCACATCGATCATCTGAGGAGCAGGGAAGTTTCCGTGACTTTGAAGGAGAGTGTACCTGGCCTGTATCTTATTTGGTAGCATTTCACTGTTAGCATCCCTTGCCCTTTCCCCTCAGCACTGAGGTTTGACAGTAACCCCCTACCGCCAAACAGTACACATCCAGCCCCTTTGCCAGTCAGTGTGCGTGCTGATTGCCTGGGCCACCAGTTTGCTTTGGCCACTGGGTTTGGAAAAGGAACTTGCTTTGTTTCTATAGAGCCCCCAGAGCCATTTGCAGAGGAGCCTCCTCTCCGCTGCCCGTCACAGACATCACATACAAAGGGATCAAGTTGGAAACGAATATTTTATTGATACACAAATGTCAGGACAGACAACCAAAGAGAAAAGATGCATGTGAAGGAGGCAGGGTGCCTGCCCCCCGATACACACCAGCTTCTCCCAGGGCTTCTGAGCTGCTGTCTTCCATACTGTGCCCGAGCAACGCCAAGGGGAGAGGTGAGATTCCCCCCTACACGAGGCCACACCATTCACAGCACGGTTCGTTCGCGTGTGGCCTTTGACACCCAGCTGAGCCTTTCTAATCTCTCAGCAGGCGCAGCAGTGGGCACGCACATGCCGACCAGTTCACTGTAGCGGTTGCAAACTGGAATGGAGCAATCACTTGAATGCACTTGCGTTTGAGTCCGGAGGCCTGGCCATGACGTGGAAGTTGACCGCATTTGGAATAACGTCCCCCTGCCTCCACCTTTTGATAAGCCCCCTTCCCTGGAGCTGCTTTGCAGCATCAATGGAGGGTGAAATTCATGGACTTGAGAAGCTTGAGCTGGGCGAAGCACTTCTTCAGGATCCTTTGGAGTGAGTTTCTCTGGGGCTTTGTGCCCCGGAGCTCGGGACTGGAGGTGCTCTTCTGACAGACCGTCTCAAAGGACTTCCTCTCACCCTCCAGCCTCTCTGCCTCTCTGCTCCCCAACACACCCATGGCCTCTTTGCTTCTAATGGGGCTGGACCGTCTTTGTGGGAAGAGGGGCCTGGCTGGGTGGTCAGCGCCCTGGCTCCCGTTGCTGCCTCTGCAGCTGGTCTGCTGGGCACGGTGCTGCTGCCAGTCTTGTAAGCAGCCGGCCACTTGAGAGCAACCGTCTGTCGGGGCCGTGGGCATCTCGGGGTCTCTTCGGCTTCCCGGCTTCTCAGGGGCAGGAGGTTTCCCGCCAGGACACTTGGGAGAAGCAAAGTCCAAGTGGAAAAACAAAGCCTCCTCATTGGTGACCTGGGGGCTTTTCCCCAGGGTGATGAAGCCATACGGGGTGGTGATCTTGGGCAAGTGGGGCAGGGATAGGGCTGCCCGGGCGATGGGGTCTGAAATCTCCTCCACCTTGACAGCCAGCTCCAGGCTGGAGCAGGCTAGGAGGGGGCAGGGCAGAGCATGAGCCGTCTTCCCCGTGGGGTCTGAGCTGCTCCTCTGGGCCTTCCTCTTGCTGAAGAGCCTGTGGCCTTCCTGGATGTCCAGCGAGGGGATGATGAACTGCGGGATGCGGTCAGGGGTCACCATGTAATTGAAGACGTCTCGGGAAGCCTTGGCAGGGGGAGAGTCGCAGCCGGGGCTCGCCTGCGCCCGGAGTGACATCTCCGGGCAGACAGCGCGCTGGCTTCTTGCCTCTGCGGTGCCCTGGAGTCAGGCACTCCGGTCCCCTCCTGCTCTCCAGAGCAGCCGCCTCGTATTTATACTCTCCGCGTTGCTCTGCGTGCGGTGACGCTCTGCGATGACTCCTGCCAGACAGCCGGGGCTGCACCTGCTCTCTCCGGCCCCGAGATGATGCATCATCTGCCTGTACAAAGGGGAGGCAGCTGAAGCAGGCAGGAGAGGAGGGGAGCTCATCCCTACGCCTCCGCGCTGCCTGCCTGCTCCGTGTGCAGCGCAGACGAGGGCCACTTGAGCAGATGGGCTCCTGTCACCGCCAGGGAAATAGCAAGGCACTGGCGGGGCTGCCGGTCCCCGGGGCTGTGGAGCATGGGCAGGCAGAGAGCACTTTGCAGCCGCCTGCAAAGAGGGAGAAAGGACGAGTCGATCGAGCGGTGGCCTTTCAGGGGTGAGTCACTGCTCCTTAGGTGCAGGGCGTTGTGGGAGCAGGAGCCGTGCACGCTAGGGGAGGGATGTTTCTAAAACGGCTCTTTCTGAGACCTCTTTGTCTCTCTCTCCCTCCTGTTCAGCGTCCGGTGCCTCCACGCCGGGCTAAGGAACAGTCTCGAGCATCCCTGAAACCAACAGAGCCAACGTCCACAAACTGCCCCGGGGGAGGCGGGGGGGGGGCAGCCGTTCAGTCGCAGCCTTGTGCTCCCACAGGTGCAGAAACCAAGCGTGCCCCGGCAGAGACCTGGAAATCAAAGGGGCTTTGTCTTTTATTCTTCTCTCTCCACGCCGAGGCAGGCAGGGAGACACAGAATTGGACTGTGCCTATGGAGAGAGTTTGCTCCTGACGCCTGGACTTACGGCAGGTGCCTCAAGGCTGCTTTTCATCTGTTCCTGCACTGGAAACAATGCACAGAAAGGGCAATCTCGACTTCAGCCCCTGCTGCAGCCCTGGCCCACGGCCCCACAGCGATAGACAGACCTGCCAGCTGCTCGTGCTCCTTCCAGCCTCTCCCCTGTAGGGCAGCTGGTGCTTTCCAGCAGATTTAAGCCCTGATCCTGCACTGATAGAGTGGGGGGGAGTTTTGCCATTGATTTCAATGGGAACAGGAGCAGGAGCAGGCCTTGGTCTGGGGCCCTGGACCTTTTCGGATGAAATAATAAAGGCCCCAAATCTGTGGCTGGCCCATGTGCACGTTAGCACTGAACCAGCTTGACGTCTGAGTAAATTCAATGACCTTGGAGCAAAATCCGTCCCTTCCCGTCTATGCACTCCAGTTCCAGCTGGCACTAGGGCAGCAGAAATGATGCTGTGGGGACAGCTGTAACCAGGGGTGTCCCCAGGTCACTTTGCAGCTTGGCCGCTTGCGTCTCTGAAGTGCCGCACCGGAGCCGGCTGCACAGCATGGCAAACTCCAGCAAGCAGCCAGGCCTGTGGACACTGGCCTCCCCCTTTCCAAGCTTCCCTCAACCCCCTCCTCCCCTCACCCCCCAGGCTGCGGTGCCCGGCTGGAGAGAGCCCGGGGGCTGAGTGGGAGGAAAGGGGCTCTTCTTGTCCCCTCCTGGAGCTCTATCAATAGTCCCAGTTTGAAATCCATGTTAACTGAAGTGGAACAGAGGCATGATCTCAGCACCAGGGTTGGCTGGGGAAATGGCCCATGTTATGCTCACCAGTCCACAGAGCCATTCACAGGCCTCCTCCTGATCTCTGGGTTTAGGCCAGCTGCAAAACGGTGCCAGTGAGCCTTGTGCATCCTTGCAAAGGATCAGCCCTGGGGGCTCGGGACTGCAGGGAGGGAGGAGGACTCGGCCTAAAGCCCAGGACCCAAATGTAGGGGGCACATGCAGCACAGGGATAAACCCTCCCGGGCCCCTCCCGGGCGTCAAAGAGCTGGGGAAACACAGAGCTGCAGGCAGCGTTTGGGAGGAGCCTCTTGGGCTGTCAAAGTGGCTAACTGAGCACAGCAGAGGCATCAGGGAACCAGAGCAGCCCCCCTCCCGTTCTCCATGCTGGGTATAATGAATAGCAGCCCCACGTCCCTGCAGCTGCAGTTGCTCTTGCTGGGTCTGCAGCAGGGGTGGGCAAAATGGCAGCTGCAGGTCAGTGCATGGACTTCATTTCCCAGCGAGCCCTGCCTGCATTGCTGCAGCTGGTTTCCATGTATACCCCAGCAGCAGTGGGACCAGTGGGACTGGGGGGGGGCACACGGGTTTCCATGGCGACCAGCCCCAGCAGCACTGGCAGGGCGCCGGGCTGGGTGAGGAGCTGCTCCGGGGTCGGGGCTGGGATTTTGCAGCAATGACAGCATGATCTGGAGTTGGGGCAGAGCTGCCCGTGGCACGTGGGCAGCAGATCCCGACCATGCTGTCACCGTTGCAAGATCCCGGCCCCGGAGCAGCTGCCTGCCCAGCCGCTCGCCCTGCCAGCACTGCGGGGGCCGGTCTCCTTGGAAACCCTCGCCTTGCACTGTCACAGCCCCCCTGCTGCTGGGATCTCCATGAAAACCAGGTGCAGCAACGTGGGCAGGGGCTCCTGGGAAATGGAGTCTGCCACAATCCCTATCTTGGGACTTTGCCCACCCCTGGACTACAGCACTGCAGAGCGATCCGCTGGGAATTGAGAGGGATGGATCATCTGGGGGGCCTGTGAATTGTCGCCACAGAGGCTGGGACAGGGCTTGGGCTCCCTCAAGGCCATAGCTCTTATTCAGTACAGCCGTGGATCGGTCAGCCCCAACCCCCCGGCGGGTGCCCCCGACCAAATGCTCAAGGAAGCCGGGGCAGGATGGGGTGCAGGTCCTGCTGTGCAGGGGCCTCAGGAATTCATATCCCCTGCCACCCTGCTGCCGCAGCAAGTCAGCCTGCAAGAACCCGGGTCTCATTGCTAAAAGCATTTGGGCCCCCAAAAGTGCAAACTGTAAATCCCACTTGGGACCTGGCTGCATCTTTAGGCATCCAAATGCTTCTGAAAATCTGGGCCCAGTTCTCTGCCATTCAAGGTCTGGTGCAGTTCCTTATGCCAGCGATAAACTGGGATAAAAGTCCCCCACGGCCCCAGGCTGGCCCTGCATGCCACCTGCACTCTGGTAAGGGCAGCTGCCCAAGTGCCGAGAGGTCCGGCCCAAAGCACATCCCCCAGAGAGCCACACACTGAATTATTCCCCAGCAAGCAACAGCTCTAGGATTGCATCCTAATCTGGGGGACTGGTTTACAACCAGAATGAGGCTGCAAGGAAAGGTCACACTGATTAATTAAGACTGGCGGCTCCTTAACATAATAAGCAGCAGCTGGATCAGAGCCTGTAAGTAACTAAAGTGCTGGTGTTAGGCTCAGCCAGGTTTCTGTTCAGCTCAGCTTGCTCTTCACCATGGAGCAGCAGCCAGCCAGTCCTGTAGCCCCATGTACCAGCCCTGGGGAAAAAGGGGTGTGTTGTGTGATGGGGGGAGGCTCTGTGGGATCTGAACACTGCAGGTGAGGCCTTGCTCCTCTAACTGTGCTTCCCCTTTGTGTTTAGGAGATGGTAGTCAAGCGGGCTGGCTCTGAAAGCTTGCTTGGGAGGTTCTTCCAGCAGGCTGCTCAGCTGGGGCTTGCCAGGTCCCTGGTAAGTAAATCCCATCCTTCCTCTGCTGCTGGGGTGGGGAGTGCTGGGGGTTGGGCTTGGGGTTGCTGGGTGGTGTAATTAGTGCAATTCTAATAACTAATCTAGCTCTAACCTAGCCAGCCTAGGTGCCAGCAGCAATGAAGCTGGCAGCAGCACACTCAATGTGTTGCCCTACCTAAAGAGAAGTGAGGCAAGTACTCAAGGGGCAGGCTGGTGCTGAGCGCCGTTCTCTCCTGGGGAGACGGCTACAGTGTGCGGGCAAGCCCAGGTAAAGCAGCTTGGATGTGTCTGCAGACAGGACCATGCTGCTTCTAGCCCCCTGCAGACCTTGGTGCTTCACCTGCAGAAATAAGGCATTAAGGAAAGTGCTATGGGAAAGCTTCTGACTGCTTTGAAATCTCCTGCCCTGCTGTCCCCTGCAGCCTAGAGTTGTAAAGAATAGGCTCTTTCTTCTGACTGTTCCCACTAACCAGCATAATTTATACAGCAAATACTGACTAGTTCAGCCCTCACATCCTGTGACAAAAGTACACTAGCAATTCCAGGGGCTTTGCGCCGTTGAGCTGGTGCCCTGGCTAGCCCCAAGTGTGGCATTCCTGTGCATATGCTCCTGGTGTAGGGGAGTCTTTAATTGCTGGCCACATCCTCCTTTCCTGCGTGGGTGTTCAGCAGGGCTTGGATGCAAGACATCTTCCTTTAGATCAGAAGAAGCTGGAGCTTTACAAGTGGTTGCAGGAGCAGGTTTGTATCCTCTGTAGTGCAAGCTCTTAAAGCCGGGACAAGCTCATGCAGTTTGCTGAGGACTGGCCCTGTGAGATGCCCCTGGAGGGTTGGGGATCAGGATTGCTGGGTTTGCTCGGCTTGGAGCAGTGTGGGCCAGTGGGGTATGAGTACAGTGGCCAGGCATGTGGACTTGTCACATCTGTGCTGGAAGCTCATGTGGATGAGACCGATGCATGCTGGAAGCCAGTGGTCCACTCCCAGCTCTGAACTGCATTGAAACACCCCTGCACCCTGTAGCATGGGGAGGCTTGGGTGTGATGACCAGGTTGCATGCTCCCCTAGCTCCCAGCTGGCTCACCCTTCCCCTGAGACGGTGGCTTTTCTGTTGGTGGTGTTTATCCTGCTACGATCTGGGCTAGCAAATGCACGAATGCTATGCAAAGGGGATGTGTGGCACAGCTGCCTAGCCCCCACTCC